GTGGGTGGGAAGGAGAAAGGAGAGAAGCATTGACAGGGATGCAAAGGTCCCATACATGGTGGCTTCGGGCCAGGCACTATGTTCGATAGTGCCCATATTTGTCTTATTTACACCTCACAATATCCCTTTGAATAGCATTACTAACCATTTCAGAGGAAACATGATTCAGAGAAGTTAAGTAACTTATGAAAGGTTACACAGTAAACAGGAAATGAAGCCTGGGCCCAGGTCTTCCCATGGCTGCCTCCCTTAAGGAGGCATATAATGATGGATACAGGCTGCTTCTGCCACGCTGATGCTGTCTGCCTTCCTGCACCCATGTCTCCCCCAGTTCCTGCTGGCTGAGCTTGAGATCAGCCCGGACCTGAAGGTCTCCATCAAGGATGAGGAGCTCGCCTCCCTGCGCAAAGCTTCCGCCTTCTACACCATCTGCAACCAGGTGATCCCCAAGCGTATCCCCGACATTCGCCGGCTGAGCGCCAGCCTCTCCCACCGCCCAGGCATCCTCAAGAAAGAAGACTTTGAGAGGACGGCGCTGACGCTGGCCTATGCAGCCTACCGCACAGCCCTGTCCCAGGGCCACCAGAAGGACGTCTGGGCTCAGTCCCTCCTGAGCCTCTTCCAGGCCCTGAGGCATGACCTGATGCAGTCCATGGGCCCCACAGATAGGCAGGCGCCTGGACAGCAGATCAGGGACCCGCACATGCTGTAATCCAAAAATTCTGCATTCTCAGCTCCCCTTGCCTGGACCACCAGCAGCGAGCCACAACCCATTATCTCAGAGGGGCAGCGATCAAACAGGTGTCCCGTGCTCTTTGCCCTGTGCTTCCTGGTAAGCACATCTGATTCATGCCATAGGGGACCTGGATAGAAGAAGGGGCTCCAGTGGTAATTCAAGAAGCTTCCAGAGGGGGAAAGGTACGCCTCGCGACATGCAGCTAAACTAGCCTTCAACACTGAGCCGTGGCCACAAATACCCAGAGGAAGGACAGAGCAGGGGGAAACTTCACAGAGATATGAGGCTCGGGGGCAGGGTGGAGGGGGGCTGAGCTTTGGTCCAAAGGGAACTCAGGGACCTTAGGGGCCAGGGTGCTGGGCTGAATGAACATTTGTTCCAAGGTCTTGGGGTAAGACATAAAGAAATAGTGCTAAAGGCCATAAACACCCCGCGAGGCACAGACACCTTCTTAGCATTGCTAAAAGCCACCAAGAAGGATCCTCTAAAAGGTCAGTAACTCAGGACCTAGATCTGATGACCCCTCTTTTCTGAAGCCTGATCTAACATAGGGGAGACAACTCAGGGGTCACAGAAACACTCCCAACAGTCATGCTTTGTGTGTTGACCCCAGAAACCAAGAGTCATCCTGAAGAAGGGGGGAGCCACCCTCCCCCATGCCTGTGGTCCCAATGCTAAGTCCTCCAGCGCCATCCGAGAGGGAAGAGCTGCAAATAAACATGATTTCAGAAGACAACATTCCACCCTTTTGGCTGCCAACACTTTGATCTTAGCAATACTGACTTAACCTCTTTTTGAACAATGCAGATGTAATGCTAAAAATTTGATTTGTGTCTTAAGATCCTTTGCAACATTTTAAGGAAGGAATTAGCAAAGATGAGGTCGTGAGGCTTCCTCCTCTTCTGAAATGTCCATATTTCACTGTGAGACATTGCAGAATGGACTCCTGGCCCTCAGAGGTCTTGGGGGCCCCAATACTCCCCAGTTTTGCTGATTGTGTGTCCAGTGTGAGAGTCTGCTACCTTCCTCGCCATCAGGCTTCTAGAGTGTGTTTTTGTTCCCCATATAACTTGTTCTTGGTGGACTCACTTGCCTGTAGCTATGATCACCTAAAGAACAAGATAACTAGGCCTGCTCCACTGTGCTAAGTCAGAGCTGACAGATACAGCCTCTGCCGGCGCACCTGGCGGGTAAGAGAGTCCGTGCCAGTTTTCTGGCTTCTCCTAGGTTGACAACTGTCCTGGAGGCTAAAGATGCAAAAAGTCTGACCTCTGAGTGAGGCGGGATTTACTGGGCTCAAATGGATTGTGAAATGGGTATTTCAAAGCTGCCATCCCATGATGACGAGAGCTGGCCTGGCTTCTTTTAAACCCTTTGAACAAGAGAGCTCTCGAAACAGCACAGCTGCATGATCTTTTTGGAAAATACTAGGGTACAGGAAGGAGGTACTCATCATCAGAGAAAAAACTCCTTTGCATCCTGATGTTCTCAGGCTCAGAAGATGAAGAACGGTCATTTGCTTTCCCTTACTAGACTTGTACCTGCTCCCAACACAGGCACTGACAGACGCTATTTGGGTCAATCCTTTCCTTTCTACTAGAGCTGTTCTCTTGACATGGTCACTGAACTAGTCTTTCTTTCCTTTTTATTTTAGTTGCTGTCTCTGCTCCTCACCCCCCTCCACTCCCCCCACCCCACCCCCAACCCAGTTAGATGATCTCTGTCTGCTCTTGAGTCCCCTTAGGCTGTCTGCCTCTCAGTCTGTCTCAGTCTGCCTGTGCTCTGCTTCTCTACCTCCCAGTCTCCTCTGGGTGTCACTGGCTGACTAACACAAAGGTCAAGGTACAGATAAAGTCAGAAACTAGATTAGATGCATGGTCTACCTTTGCTGTTTGACTGCAGGGACTTGGTCCCTACACACTACATTTCCCTAACATTCAGAATCACATGCCAGCCTGGACCCATTCCCATCAGAGTAGAGCTGAGAACTTTCTTTCAGTCACTGTGCAGAAAGACCCACCGTTGACCACCCCCTGCGTCCTCAGGTTACCCTATCATGGTTAGATGACTGATCCCAGTAATAGGGGCCTATGACAGGGAGGCTGGTTCCCAGGACCATTGGCAGCAATTGTAGCTCATTCCCAAAGCAACAGAAATCACACATCAGGGGTCAAGTTTACATGGCCACCAGTGACTGAAAGAGAACAGAAAGACATGGCCTTTTCAAAGAGAAATGAAAAGCACAATTTGCATCACTAGATTCTGAAACACTATTTTCATCTAAATACAAAGTAATTCTCTACCCACAAAAAGTTTTATGATAATGATTTGTTTTGTACACAAATCAACTACTCACCACCCAAATCTCCCCCTAGTGCCACATATAGACTTACCAGACGAGGACCCCTCAATGCCACTGCACACCCCCATCACAACCAAGCCACACTTTCTCAGAGCTGCTCGTAGACAGAATAATTTGGGGCGAGATGTTGGCAGCAGAAACTTGCCAGTAACATATGCAACCATCCTACCATTTCTAGACTGCTATGAAAATTGCAGAATCTAAAAATTCTGGAAATTTCCTCTATAGTTGGGATGCTCTGGTATGTCTCAAGAGCCACTGAAAAACTCCATTGAAACTTTTATTGCCTGTCACTTCACCTTGAATGTAAGAAGGAATCACCTAAGTGGTAAATGAATCAGAAGGTATTTCTTTTTTTTAAGATTTGTTTATTTATGCATATGAACCTGGGGTACAGGCCAGAGGTGCGGGGGCATGAGAGGAGTCACCAGAGACAGAGTGGGGAGCAGAACAGGCACACTGACTAAAATACATTGCTAAAGGGAGCAGTAGGTGGGACAGTAGTGGTCTGCTGCACCTGGCCAGTATGGAAATCATTGTTGCTGATAGCTTCACAGTGTTGCGCTTTAACCCATTGCATGCCAGGGAGGGTCCCAGAAGATATTTCTATAGGTAAAAGATCTAAACGTAAATGCTTTCTATGGTGCTCCTTATTTCCTAACTGATTTTAATGCTTCATATTTTTATGGGGTGGGGGGGAATAGGTAAGAAGCAGGAGAAACAACATTTATTTTATCACCTGAACCATTTTTAAGTGTACAGTACAAGAATGTTAACCCATATGCACACTGTTGTGTAACACATCTCTAGAACTCTTTCATCTTGCAAAAATTAAACTCCATACCCACAGAGCAATTCCCTTCCTCCCCACCCCAGCCTCAGGCAACTCCATCTACATTCTGTCTCTAAGAGTCTGACTACTTTAGATACCGCTTCAGTGGGATCGGTCTTACCTTTTAAGCATTGGTTTTTGGAAAATACTTTCTTCATCTGAAAATATCCACAGTGAGCATCCTGAAGAACTACTGGTCTTTCCTAATTTTATTTACAAATTTTCATTTATGGTGCAATAAAAATGTTATAATGAAGCTACCAGGCTCCACGGAATCTTTGTCATCTCAGATTATCTGACCAAGGAATTCGAAATGGTTCATGGGTTTAATGATGAGTTCTGACTTCCATGGCTGTTTCTTACTATCCAGATTCAGTAATATTTACCAAACGTTCCTCATATTCATTCTGAGTTCAAAATCATTACCAAAATGAGCCCTGAATATGGTAGCTGGTCTTTGGCATGCATCTAAAGAAACAACTCTACAGCAAGATAATTTCAAAGGGGGATGGGGCTGTCCATGGTTACACCAGCCTGAAAGGTCAAGAAGAACTGGTTTGGTTGGGGTCACTTCTCTCATGACTGTACCATTACCCTCAGGACATTTCTAACTGGTAGAGCAGCAGACCTTGGATAGACATTCCTGGCATTCTGTGAATTCAAGAACAGGTGGATTTCATAACTCTTGACATTGCCAGTGTCTCTCAGATCAAAGCAAAGCTTTCTACCTAGACAACCACTCCTAGAACATTTGGAGTTTCCTTTATTTTTTTTTTCTTTTCTCTCTTGCTCCAAATTATATGCCCTGAGAAAAGAAACTACCAGCTTCTACAGTTCTGTAAGCAGCAGAAATTCCAGAGCAAAAGCACTGCCAAAGCCCTGTCCCTGAATATGAATCTGCTTCCCCACCTCCTCCATGCAGACGAGCCAAAAGAAACCTTCTGTTTCTTTTCTTGAGAAAGAACCTCAAAGAGAAGCAACTGAGCACTCACTCCTGCCAGAGAGACCAGTGATACCTGCGTTCCAGGGGTCTCTGAAATAAAAACCAACATCTAGACTTCCCAGAGGCAACCCCCCCCCCTTTCCATTCTCCCTAAAAAGGTCTGTGATCTTTCTTACAAATACCTTCTGCTGACTTCAGTGCATGTTTACCCAGGTGCCAAAAACAAGGAGCTTGCCACCAGGGAAGTCTTAATATTTTGTATCCTCTCCAGAATGTATATTCCTCTTTCTCCCTGCTACCAACCACACCATCTTTCTAAGGAATAATCAACAGTGACGAGTCCAGAGAAAGCTCTGTGTCCTATGATCTACATTGATAATGCAGGGTCTGGGGACTTGGGATTCTGTTTTCGATGATGGCCATCCCTCCAGGCCCTCGGAAGTCGCGGAAACAAAAATAAGCTTTGCAAGTTGTCTAGGTTCTGCAGAATCAGCAGGCCCCTGCTGGGACCAATCAAGAATTGCCTCTGAAAGAGAGAGGAACTCATTCTTTCCAGCGTGCTGATTGGCTGGGAGGAGTGGGCGGGGCTACAGCCTGGTCCTGCTCCCCATAGGTGAATAAAAGTTAAAGGTGGGCCTCCTGGAAGATTTTGTCCCATGACAACAGGAATATCTTGGGGATTTTTTTACAGCTTTGGAGACCCAGGCTCCTGGCAAATAATAAGTGGAAAGCCAATTTGAAGAAAACAAAGTCGAACTGAGTTTTAAGGTGCCAGGTTCGGGAGAGAAGACCGTCTGCATCAGCTGCTGATAAAGTTGGGGGCTAGTTTTAAGGGAAGCGAGGGTACTAGGTTTTTACCAACAGCCAACGCTGCTGGCACTCGATCGGGTGCTGCCCAAACAGGCCATCAGAAAGAGGAAAAGTGGTGGCGGGCACACCATGATCTTGGGCTTTTTAATTATTTTAAGTCTTTAAATGACTTCTTCAAGGCCAGAAGGGCATGGCCAAGGTGTGATTTTGATTGGTTAAGGGGGCTTTGGCTGAGCCCTAGAATGAAGTAACTCTATTATTACTCAAGCAAAGCGGGAACCCATTATGCCCCCGTTTACCGTCCTTTACCGTGCCTTTTTGCTGGGCATAAAACCATACTCACCAATCCCACCTAAAACGGAAGGCCGAGAGCCCACGCTTTGGTGCGCACGAGGGCCGTGAACTGCTCCTGTTTGCCGGAGGCGAGAGGACCCTGGAAGCCGAGGAAGGGGTAAGAAGTCTTCGGGTCCCAGCCTCGCCGGGAGCAAAGGCCTTGGAGGCTCTGAGGAAGGAGGAGCGCGCCAAGATGGGCTGGCTGAGGAGCCTTCTCCGCGCCAGGAACCTGCTGCTGGTGGTCCTGGTGCCGCTCCTGCTGCTGCCGCTGCCCTTGCTGCACCCCAGCAGCGTGAGTACCGCTCTGTGCCCTCCTGGGGTCCGTGGGCCCCGGGAGGGCCATGGAGGGCACTTTGGCGGAGGGAATGGGGGTGCTGAGGCCGGATTGCCACAGGGATTTCTGTTGGTTTGCACAAATCAGCAATGTTTTCTGGAGGAAGCTAACATACTTTCTTCCTCCAAACGGCCGTTTTTATGGCCCTGTCCCACTCCCCCAGCCCTCTGGCTGCCCGGCAAGGCTGAGATTAGAGGCGGACAGCCCAGCTGCTGGTGTGTGGGACGCAAATCTGGGCCAGCGCAGGTGAACACCCTGTTGAGCTGGTCCTTGCCGGAGCCCATGCTGTGAGCGCCGCTGGGAAAAGCTGGGGATGCCCGAGCCCTCCAGATGATGACCCTGGGAAGGACCGGGAGGAAAGGGAGTGGACAGAGCCGGGGGTGCGTGGTCCCGCAGGACTCTGTGGGCAGGCTCCGGTGGGCTTGATAACCAGGATTTGAAACTGACTCTGAAAGTTCCCTCTGCGCTTGAAGTTGCTCAGAGCTTGGCATCCTGCCCTGGTCCCATGCATGACTCTTGAATATTTTATCCACTGTGCTCTGTGCTTATGAAGAACAGACAGCCAATAGCCCTATAATAAAGAAGTAAGCGCCCCCAGTGTAGACTTTGACCTAATTCCTGGCCAGTTCAGCTCTCAGACCACGCTGGCCTCCCTTCCCTTCCTGTCTCAGCTCACCTCCTCTTCCTCCTCTCAGGCCCTTAGCCCTTTCCCCCCACTGGCACAACCTCTACAGCATCAGGGAAGACAACCCACACCAAGTTCAGTGTTTGTGGGCGGGAAGACAGCTTTCCACTCAGCTCACTGAGTGACTTAGTAACCAGGATTAGTTACTGAGTTAAACCGAGGGGATTAGAATGGTTCTTCTTAAAACAAACTGGCTTAAATCTTCAATAGAATCAAGAGCCCAGGGTGGGGGGTGGGGCGTGGGGGAGCCTGCAGCCTCTGATAAAGCCGGGCTGGGATTAGCAGACCACGATGGCGGCTGATGGCTTTCCTGCGCTGTGCACTATCAGTTTTCTGCTGTGTCCAAATGGGTCCATCTTTTTTTCTTAGTTTTTCAGGTTTTGTTATACTCAGTGGCAGGTGGATTTAAGGAGGTGCTAACCTCTTCTCCAGCACAGTATCAGGTACCCTCTAATTCAGCCCTATCTTTGGGGTCCACCACTCTCAGGGGTAGCATCCCCCACATCTCACTCTCGGGCCCCATCTTTGAACGTCTTGGCTTTCTAGTGAAAAGTAGGTGTAAAGACAGCTAAAAGCAGGAAACATCGTCTATAATTTTGAGGGAGGGGAAGCGTTGTAGAATAAAGTGAGAGAAAAATCTGGGTGAGCCTCTGCTCCGTGTGGGTCTACGAGCAACTGTGAAGAGACTTGTGAAGCCGCGTGACCCCGCCACGGTGCCCTCTCGTGGCTTGGATCTCTCTTTCAGAGTCTCACCTGAGGCCGTGGCTTCTCTGCAGCCGCATAGGTGGCATTTGGGGTCAGACAGTTCTCTGGTGTGGGGGGGGAGGCTGTCTTGGTCTCTGTGGGGTGTTTATAGCACCCCTACTCTCTGCTCATTGTATGTGGGTAGTAGCGTGTGCTTTCCCTCTCCAGGAGACAGCCAAAAAAATGCTTCCATATTTTGCCAAATAGCTCCCCCAGTTAAGAACCAGTGCTTTAAAAAATAGAAATCTTTCTCCACGCTCCCCAGTGAGCATGCGTGGGTTAATAGAGGTCCATGCTTCAGCTGGGGCCCCATGCCCCCCATAGACACAAATCAACACGTAGATGCCTCTCAGCATCTCCCCATAGTGAAAATTTAGTGTCTGACATTTAACCCGTAAAGTTCCTAACTGGACTTGCTTGCCCCGAGCAGGAACTCCTGGCCTGCGACCAGCAGGTGCAAAGAGCCAGCCCACAGCTACATTTTTGGAAGGATTACAACGATCTCTCTTTTTTATTTATTTATTTATTTATATATTTATTTATTTTTGGCTTTCCAAAATCAGAAGCCCAGACTCAGTTTACCCTGTTACTGACGGAGAATGCAAAAAGGGGTATCCATGACTAAGCCCTGCTTCAGGATCCCCAGGGGGTTAAAGTTGCACCCAACTGCCAAGCTCACTTTCACCCAGGGCTGCCAGTGATTTATCACATCAAGAAAGCAGACCTGGAGTTCCTTCTAGAAAGTCTGAGTGGGGTGTCACTGGGGTGGCTGAGGTGTGTGGGAAAGGAACAGATCCAACCACGGTTGGTAGCAAAGTTAAGAAACATTCTATGGGGGGAATTGCCACTTTTGAATGCTCTCGGTATTTGTACAGGAGTCAAAAGATGTTGACTGCATAATCCTTCAAGACACAGCCTGAATACTCACCTACTCCTACATATCTAATAACCAATAACAGAGACAAGAAGCTGGCCTTCTAGAATATCGTCTTGGGTAGATAAGAGAGACCCTTTAGTCACCAGAGGAGCCAAATTCAATCTGTCCTATATAGATTGAGCTGCCTGGTGGCTAAATGCAGGGACAAGGGGCTTCTGTCATCAAACTTTGCAGAGTATTTTGAGTTGTCAGAATTTAAGCTTACCGACTACATTTTGAGATGGCTAAAGAAGGGAAAAGAAGTTTCTGTAGGTTCCATGGCTGCACTGGTCAGTGCTACTGGCTACTGTATAGAAAACCCCACCAGTGGCCTCTTATCTATTTTTCTGCTCTAAATGGTAGTATCCTGTTCTCAATATCAGGAATGAGGGTGGCTTGGTGACTTCCTGCAGTAACCCGGCCCAGTTCCCAATAGTTACAATCAGAAAGGTTGATTACCTAAGATTTGCCTTACTCCAAATTCTAATCCTGGTGCCTGGTGAAGTTTTGTTTTTTTGTTTTTGTTTTTTGTTTTTAAGATTTATTTATTTATGCACACAGAACTGGGTACAAGCCAGAGGTGCAGGAGTGGTGAGAGGATTCACCAGAGACAGAGTGGAGAGCAGAACAGACCGAATGACGAAGTACACTGCTGAGGGGAGCAGTGGGCGGGTCAGGAGAGGTCTGCAGCACCATGTGGGTCAGCTCCAGGGCGGGGGGATCGAACTCACACTGAAGCAGCTGGGTCACTTGCAGTGTTGCGCTCTAACCCACTATGCCACCAGGGAGGGCTCGTTGTTGTTGTTGTTGTTGTTGTTGTTTCCCCTAATGTTTTAATTTTAAAAGAAGAAAAATAGGCCCTCCCTGGTGGTGCAGCGGGTTAAAGCACTACACTGAGAAGCTAAAGCCACTTCCGCATGAGTTCGATCCCCGCCTTCCCCGGAGGTGAGCACATGGCGCGGTAGACCTCTCCTGACCCGCCCGCTGCTCCCCTCAGCAGTGTACTTCGTCGATCTGCCTGTTTTGCTCCCCACTGTCTCAGGTGAAGCCTCTCACCCCCCCTGAGCCTTTGGCCTGAATCCCAGTTCTGTATGCACAAATAAAATAAAATCTTTAAAAAAAAAGAAAAAGAAGTAAAATAAATAAACCAAAAGAAGAGAAAAAAGCAACATGGCGCTTGGTGAAGGACAGTTCTCTTCCCTCCCCCATTCGCTTCGGTGGCTGTTCATCCACCAGGACCAGAAAGAGAGAAGGTTCCGTCTTCAGCAAGGATGGCTCAGGAAGGGAGGGATAGTCTGTCCCCTTAATCTTCAATAGGCACTAGGACCTGCTATTAGGTCTCTTTCCCTCAAAGGACTTGAGAACAAGTGGGCCCCACTGGGCTGAAAAGTTTTAATCCCATTAGTTCTGCCATAAAGTACATTCTTTTTCAAATGGTGCCTTTTTTTTTTTTTCTTTTTTTAATCACTATTGATTCTGTTGTCTTATCTCCACTTCCAAGACTTTATCTCCACTATCTTTTGTACCCAGAGGACATCTCAGTGGGAGCTCCTGTCAGGTCAACAACTGTTGGGCTGGGTTTCCATGTCTCAAGCCCCAGCCCCCTCACCCATAGATATCAGGAGGGGGCAAGGTCCTGTCAAACTGGGTTAATCACTTCTGAAACCCCTAACTCATCATAGGCACCTTTTGTAGTTTTTATGCAAGACTTTGAGGGTGTTTGCTCTGAATCCAAGGGACAGATAAACAGAACGGTGGGTTCCAGCCACCCCCAGGGCTCACCAGACCTGAGCAGAGATGCGTAAGAACTAAGTAAAAGCAGAGGCCCCCCCCCCCAGCCAGCCCAGGTCTTAGAGACAGTGGCCCTCCAATCCACTGTCCACTGAGTGACCTCTCCGTGCGTGGCCTTCTCAACACCACTCATCTGTGCCATTCAGCACTCACTACTGGAGGCCCAGGTTAAGGGGGGCTGGTTTTTCATAGGAACACGGTGCTTATTAATCCGTGTGTCCTGAGGTTGTGTAACTAGCCACGTGGGTGGGGAGGGGGGGTGAGGGGGTGGCACGTGTAATCTCCATATCTTCCCTTCCAGGTGGATGACCTTGTTTATTCCCTTGTCAGGGTGTGTTTTCCGCACATCACCCAGCAGGTGAAATGAAGTGTCAGAGTATTGAGAGCCCGAAGCTGGATCCTTCTTCAACCTGGGAAGCTTCCCCTCTCCCCCCACCCCCCCACCTCCGCAAGAGACTTGGCAGGTCTAGAGACCTCGGTGCCTCAATTGGGGAGGTGCTACTGACATCTAGCGGGAGAGGCCAGGGGTGCTGCTAAACATTTTACAATGCACGGGCTTCCACCCCAGCACGGAGTTACTCGAGCCCAGATGGGCCGAGCTCCGAGCTCCCTGCGACCCAGTGCCACAGACCGATCCCGACCCTCAACGGCCGCACCCCGCTCTAAATGCCCCCCACCCCTCCCACCACCCCACCCCGTCACTAAACTGTTCCGCCGCGTCCCAGGTGGAGCTGTGCATCCCCCTGTGCTGTGAATGGCGTGCCAGCGGCAGCTCACTTCAGTCCCCGCGGGCCAGTTTCAGTACCCAGCAGAACCCTGATGCCCTAACAGCCGCGCGGCGCGTTGCGCAAACCCGTGCAAACCGCACACTCGCTCTTGGGGCTCGCGGGGCGCCCCACGTAAGGGCCCAGCCTCGGCCCGCGCCCCGAGTGACTGACCGCGCTCTCTCCTCCGCTTGCAGGAGGCGGCGTGCGCGTACGTGCTGATCGTGACTGCGGTGTACTGGGTGTCTGAGGCGGTGCCTCTGGGAGCTGCCGCCCTGGTGCCCGCCTTCCTCTACCCCTTCTTCGGAGTCCTCCGATCCAGCGAGGTCAGCCACTCGCCCGGCCCCAGCTCGGGCCTTGCGGGGTCAGGGAGAGGGGCTGGGGCTCGGGGCTCGGGCTGGGAGGGGGCTCGTGTTTGGTTTGGCTTTGAACCCCTGAGCACTACGCCTTCCCACCTGCTGTGCCAGCCCCTGGCTTCCTCTGCTTCCACCTGCATCTCCCTCAAACTGGTGCGAATCCTGCCTCGTCCCCGTTTGTGACTTCTTGGTTCATTGCATCCAGTTTGCCCCTTGCACCGGAAACCCTTCCGGGACTCTGTGGTTGGGGCCCCAGTCTCCAAATGGTTTCTCCCCCCACCTCTCCTGTAGGTGCACTAAGTCTAAGCAGTAGAGCAGGTATCCGACCTCCGGGGTCTTGGGAGTCTCGTTAGAAAGTTGAGCCTGCCTAGGGTAGGTGCTCAATAAACATTTGGTGACAGAGAGACGCACGTGTTCCTGCGTCCTCACAATGTCTCCATCCACTTCCTGGAAAGAAAACACCTGTCTCTGTTTCCTTTTTCCCAACTTGAGGTTACTGTGTGTTCTTTCCTTGTCTCCTGTAACCCAGAGTCTGCCCTCTCCTATGACACTCTTTTTTTTTTTAAAGATTTATTTTTATTTATGCATACAAGAACTGGGGTATAGGCCAGAGGTTTGGGGAGGGGAGAGGATTCACCAGAGACAGAGTGGGGAGCAGAACAGGTGGATCTACTGAAATACACTGCTGAGGGGAGTGGCTGGGAGCCAGGGGAGGTCTGCTGTGCCATATGGGTCAGCTCCCTGGTTGGAGATCAAACTTATGCTGCAATGGCTGGTGATAACACTAAGACTGTATTTCTGTGCCACCAGAGAGGCCCTCCTGTGACATTCTTGACTCAAGCAGAAATTATTAATATGAGCCAGGCTGTGGTCATATTTCAGGACAGATACTTAAGCCTCCCACAAATAAGAGGAAAAACAGGTCAGTTGCAAGATGATGGTTCTCCTTTATTGCCATCTGGTTCCTTCTGGACTGTCCTCTCACAGCACCTGGTATCGGTTCAGGGTGGCTGAATGGTAGAGGATGAGCCAGAAGCACAGATGTTCACACGCCTGCTAAGAAACAGGCACTACGCTGGGAGTGCTCTATCTGTTATTTCATTCTTCCAAGATCTGTACAAGGAGGGCATTAATATTTCCATTCTACAGTTGAGGAAAGAGGTTCAGAGAGTGAAGGAACTTAGCCAAGGCCACAAAGTTGGGAGTAGCAGAACTGATTCAAACCTTTATCTATGTATTAGGTTGCCAGGCGTGTATTTCTGTAAGTAGACCAAAAGAAAACCCCTCTGTAAAATCCCTTGTGGCCTTCTGGTGTGTTGTTACTAAGAACCATGGCTCTCTTGGCCTGTGAGAGGACAATGAATAATGAAACTGGGTCTAAGGGGCACATTAGCCCAGACTAACAGAATTTTTCTGGAAGTCCAAAGATAGGACTAGGTGATCCAGGACCTCCCTGGATCACTGTGAGGCTGTCCATTGCTGCTTCAATGCAAGTTCTATTCTAGCCAGCAGGGAGGTGACCCCCATGGCTCAGCAGACCTCTCCTGACCCGCCCGCTGCTCCCCTCATCAGTGTACTTTGTCAATCTGCTTGTTCTGCTCCCCATTTCTCTGGTGAATCCTCTCACCGCCCCTGCACCTCTGGCCTGTACCCCAGTTCTGTATGCATAAATAATTAAATTAAAAAAAAAAAGAACTAGGTGATCCCTTCATTGTAACTGACTGCAAACAAACAGGCTGTTTCTACTGGATGGACCCAATTGCCCAGTGTTTGTTTTGCTTTGGATATTTTGGTTTTAAGTCATTTGTGTGTCTTTTGTTGGTGGTGGTTAGTTGTGTGTGGGGGGGAGGAGTTGTTCTTTGGGTATTATTTGGGGGGCATGAATAGTCATAGCCTCAGCTCTCCAAAAAGGACAAGGTCCCCCAACCCTCAGCAGTGCTTTTCTCCCTGGAGCTGTGTCCTGGGGAGTCTCGTAAACGCCATCCTGGGATCTGAGTCTCCAGGCCCTGCAACCTCCCACGCGAATGTGGAAAGAGAACTTGTGGCTTGAGTCTGTGTGCGCACCTGCAAGGACCTTTTCCGAAGAGAAGTATAGAGACTTGTTCTGCAAGTTTCTCTCAACAACTGTGACAACAACTTTAGAACAGCCCATGCTTCAGAAGCTGAAAGCAGACGATAGAGAAAAAGCTGGAGTTAGAGAGTCAAATCTTAAGTAACATTTTAAAGTGTGTTAACTATTAATTATGAGACATGGCTTTGTCTTTCACTAAGGACGCCAGCCGCTAACAGCAGGCAGCTCTAGTCCTGAGCTGTCTGTGCTGGCATCTCCTTTAACAAAATTAGCCCTTTCCAATGCAGGTCTCTGCCCACCTTTGTCCATGCAGATGACTTCCCTTCTGTCTTTTTCTCTTAGAAAAAAAAAAAAGCCAAAAGCATACCTTAACCTTAAAATAAATGATGGCTTGTTCCTAGGGCTGCAGGAATGGGGGAGGGGCTTCAAGACCATGGGTCAGTCTGCTGAGTAGAGATGTTGCTAAGGCAACTGTACACACACACACACACACACACACACACAGGGTCCTGCCCCTTTGCCCACCCAGGAAGGCCAGAAGTATAAGGAGTCTAAAGAAGCACTAGTTGGTGAGGGTAAAGAGGTTGTAAGGAGAAAAAGACCTAGAGGATTATAGGCCTTATGGCTGTTTGGCTGGGGCTCCAGTCTGGGGCAGAGAGCACTGGAGGAGCCAGAGGGCAAGTTTTATCATCTGGGTAAAGAAACCCTACCCCTTCCATCTGATAAAGTGGCTTTGATACTTAGCAGTTGAGCTATATAGCTTAGCCCAAATATAGCCTGTTTTAGCAGGCCTTCCAGTATCAGATTAGAGGGAAATGCTGGTAAGCAAAGGCCTTGGTTGCAGCTTATCTGCTCCGAGGCCACTGCCTAAGTGGGCTAGGACTCCAGAGGAGCCAGGCCAGGGCTTTCCGGAGCCTTTGCCCCGACCTGGGGAGCCCTGCCTCGGGTTCGCCCAGCTCTCTGGGACTCAAGCCGCTCTTCCTCCCTGCACAGTCCACCTTCATCCTCTGACACTTAAAATCCTACCCAATCATCCTGTTGGATGAAGTCTTTCCAAAGCCCTTAGCTATAGGTTGGTTCCCTCTCTTGGAGCCTACTGGGAGTCTTTATTCTTTAAATGGAACATGAGACACACCAAAAGTGAGCTTTCTGCAGACATGGCCTCTCTCCAGCGAGCTTCACTCTCTAGGTTTGATGAAGCCCACCGCCCTCCCGGGTCGGCCACCCTCTCTCCTGCCCTCGGTTAGTATTTCTGGATCACTATGCATCCTGGTGGTGTATCCAGAGTGGCCCTCCCTGCAAAGGGGTGAATCTAAGGCAAGTTAGAGACTTGCTTGCCTGAGCACCTGTGAAGTTCTTGCTGTGGCTTCATGACACACCAGCCCCTGGCGGGCCAGTGGCTGAGATTCAGCGCTGCCCCTGAGGCCTGGAATCTGGTTCTGGCTGGGAGACCAGGCCTGAAATCCTGACATTTCAGTATCAGGGGTCATATGACTAGGATCTGGACGAGTCTGGGGCTTTGACTTTGGCCCCTTGTGTTACCCACTCAAATTCAGAAAAATACCTCCTGAGCTCTGTATTCACCCTGTGAGATACAGGATGTTACTGGCAAAAATGAAAGAAATGTGACTTCTGACCACTTGAAGCTGATAACTACTGCATCTGAACCTACCCTGTCAGCTGAATATGTGGATAGACAGAAATGGTTGATGCTTAGGGTGATGACTTGGTCAGCAGAGCTTAAGAATTCACTAGGTGCAAAGTTTATGTGACCTCATAGAAATGACTCCTGATCTCAAGAAGTTTCTGTTCTAGCAGGAAGTATAAGCTACATGAAAATGCCTGGTTTTCTGGCAGTGTGGAGGATTATAGTTCTCCGTGTGGCAATGTTCTAGAGAAATTAACCCTGTTAAGTGCCCAACTTTATCTGACCAAGAGCTTTCTAAATGACTTTATAATTCCCTGGTCTTTTATTTTTACTTTTTAAAAGATTTATTTATTTATGTATACAAGAACTGGGGTACAGGCTAGAGGTGTGTGGGGTGGGGGAGTAGTTGATGAGAGGATTCACCAGAGATAGAGTAGGGAGCAGAACAGGCAGAACTACTGAAATACACTGCTGAGGGGAGCAGTGGGCGGGTCAGGAGAGGTCCCCTGTGCCATGTGAGTCACTTCCCTGCCCAGGGATTGAACTCGTGCAGCAGAGGCTGTGATAGCTTAATAGTGCTGCACTTTAACCCCTTGCACCACCAGGGAGGCCCCTCCCTGGTCATTGACTATAAATTAGTCATTGACTATAAATTAACTTTTCCTTTGGTGTCTTCAAAATTTCCAGAGGAAAAACACTGCCAATCTGAAGAGCCAAGTCGAGATGAATGGTATCATAGCTGAGGAACCCAGTGCTGGTTGAACAGCTAAACCTAAAGAATCCTGAGTAACATTTTGGTCTTGGGCAGGAGAGAGAGTGAATTAAAACATAAAAGGCATGTTATGGGATTTGCAGGTGGTGCAGAGCCTGATGTATGGTGACAGAATCGATGCTGACAGGCTGAGACAATGGAGGGGAACTGACAAACTGAAGTGTAATCCGATAAATGTGAGCTGGTTGTGTGAAAAGGACTATTGGCTCTTCTCTGAGGACCAGGATGAGTCAGCTCTCAGTCCCAGCAGGTGGCCAGAGGTGTCTTTGCCAGGCACTGTGGGGGGGTCTTTCCCATAGGCACTACCACTGAATCTTCTGTAAAGTGTTGACTGTTTTTATCTTCACTTCACAGTGGTAGTGACAGCTCAGAGAGGGTAAGTAACTTACTGGAGGTCACACAGCTAGCAAGTAATGGACCCAGGATTTGAACCCAGACCTTTCTGATGCCAGAGCTGTGTTCCTAACCACTGGCCAATATGTACTGAACTCTTACCCTTGAGTTAATGAACACAGATATCCAGGGCCCTAAATTCTATTTTTTTTTTAATTTTTTTAAAAAGATGTATTTATGCGTACAGAGCTGGAGTGCAGGCCAGAGGTGCAGGGACAGTGAGAGGATTTACTAGAGTCAGAGTGGGGAGCAGAACAGACAGATGGAAGAAGTACACTGCTGAGGGGAGCAGCGGGCGGGTCAGGAGAGGTCTGCTGCACACCTCTGGGGGCCAGAGATCAAACTCACATTGAAGCGATTGCAGCTAGCTGCTGCACACTAACCCGCTGGCCACCAGGAAGGGCCAGGGCACTAAATTCTATGTAGGAAATTATTCAGAGATGGAAGCTGAGATGTCAAAAATCTAGAAAGTGAGTCACATGAAGAATGACAAAGACGGCTTTAGAGGAGTATGATTTCTGGTTTCTGCAGCTTAACTTGGGAAACTGGAAGGGCCAAGTCAGAACCAGAGTCAAAGCATCTTACGGGAGACTTCCCCCTAAGGAGGAGGACTGTAATGTCTGCCACGCATAGGCATTCCCATCCGTGGAGATGCAAGCCCAGTGACGGGCCTGAGTGGGGGGTTGACAACCTCTGTCCTTGGGAGAATACAAATGAGGGCGTGAGAAGGGTGTGTGTGTCACACCGATTTACCCAGCAGAAAGGGTGTTCTCATCCCCCCGCTAGGGCAAAGAGACCAGTCACACAGGATTGGGGCTGTGACGTTGGCAGGAATGGTGGCCGCTAGGGGTGTGGCACAAGAGGGCACAGGGCTCAGAGTTTTCCAATAGCATCAACTCAGCTGTCCAGTAACAAGCAGCTCTGCACTCCTGAGTCCTGCCCTTAATTGCTATGTTCATCACCACCCTCCAAACACAACCTCCTTGCGTCATGTCTTCTAAAACACCTCTACTCTCCAAGTTCAGGGATTTGACCAACCTCAGAAAAACCATAAAGCAGAAAGGGCAATAAAACACCAATGCCAATATCACAAAGCCCATGCCCTGTACTCACGGGATGGGGCTCATTTGAGAATCTAACTTGTTTTTGCAAACACTCTAAACAAGCTTCATTATCTAGATTCCCAGTGCACATTTCCTGGACAAAGTAACCCTGGCGGCCAAGAGTAAAAGCTTCCAAGGGAGAGGAGTCACTTTTCTGCCTTAGAAGACAGAGAGGAAGAAGTCACCAGTTTTAGGAAGGTCACGGAGCGGCGAGAGAGGTCCTAGGCACCCTCCAGCCTTCAGTATCCTGGTGACTTGTCTGCCTCCCACAAGGGAGCAACATCTTTGCCCACCATCACTGCCTAGAAGCTTTCTGGTTCCTCCTACACTCCCCCCACCCCCACCCCACCCCCAGGAATCCTCACCTGTCCTGCGGAGTGAAGGGCCTTCTTTGCCCTTGGGGAGCGTGTCCATGAGGTTGGGTTTGGGGACCACAATTAGCTCAACCAGAAGCAGAACTATGAATTAGCACAGGAAGGCGCATGTTCTTCTCATCAACCCGACACTAGGGCATCGCCATGGAGCCAGCTTGGAGAAGTTGCCTCTATATTATTGAAGTGTACCATGCAGTTTGAAAAGCAAATAATCCTGAAAAGTCCGTAATGAAAAAGCAGATGTCTCCTCCCCCCAGGGTACCTGGCACCAAGTCCCACCTCCCCCACCCAGAGTCAGTAACTTTGAATTGTGCTAATTCTGATATTAAGCTCCACGTTCCTTTATCTTATTTGTACATCAATTCTAGAGTCATCACTTTTAGACATCTGGATTTTGCTCTCCACTTCTCCCCACACCCACCCCGCATCTTCCCAAGAGTGGTAGAATCTAAGTTTTGTTAATTCAGCAATCAAAGTTTAACAATCTAGTATGTAGACATCACTGACTTCGAACACCACTTATATCAGTCTGCACTTCCTTCCCTATCCAACGTTTATTTCTCCTGCAGTTAAAAATTCAAATCACAGCTAAATACAGAAAGCTCGGAGATTATTTTTTGTGATTTATTTTTGCACTTATTTATGCATGCAAGAACTGGGGTGTATGCCTGGGGGTGGGAGGATTCACCAGACACAGAGTGGGGAGCAGAACAGGCAGATCTACTGAGACGGACTGCTGAGGGGAGCAGCGGGGAGACAGGAGCGGTCTGCTGTGCCCTGTGGGTCAGCTCCTTGGCTGGGGATCGAACTCATGCCACAGCCACACAGGTTGGCGACAGCATCATGGCACTGAGACTTAACCCCTGTGCCACCTGGGAGGCCCAGGGGATTTTATTTTTAATGGGAGAAGAGTATCTATTCCCTAAGATTCCTGGCTGGATTAAACAAAATACTCTTGGTGAAGCATTAGCACAGGCTGTACAGCGTAGTGTCTGTTCTGTATGCACAGACACGTCCATTGGTCCACTAGCGTCATAAGGGCCCTGGTCTCCCCGACCGCGGCCTCTGGGCTAGCGAGCCTCGCCGGGCGCGGTGACAGCGTGGCCTTCCGCAGGTGGCCGCTGAGTACTTCAAGAACACCACCCTGCTGCTGGTGGGCGTCATCTGCGTGGCAGCCGCCGTGGAGAAATGGAACCTACACAAACGTGTCGCCTTGCGCATGGTCATGATGGCCGGAGCCAAGCCGGGCATGTAAGTTGAGGGGCCCGCCCTGCGCACCCCCACCCCCAGCTCCTGGGCTGGCTGCCAGGTCAAGCTGCTCTTCCTCGGAGAGGCCTTCTGCTCCCCCTGTCGCTCCAGGGCGAGGGCCTGTGACTACAGGATGGAGATTTGACGGTGGCTTTGCTGTCATTTGTTATCCCAGCCCAACTAGCTGACCTGGGCACCCCGGAAGGCAAGGTCACAAAACAAATGAGATGAAATGATACAAATTGCTTCCCAACCTTCTTGGGGTGAACAGGGGGACAGAAAACAGGTGTCTGGCCTGTGTCATTTGGGGAGACGGGAAGCTTTCCCCGACCCTCCTGAGCTGTCCTGGTGGCTTTGGAGCACAGGCCAGGATGCACGGAGGCCTTGGACGGAGTGTCCCCAGCCCTCAGCTGCCAAGGCCGGCGGGGAGCCTCAGGGCAGTGCAGGAAAGTCTGGGAGCCTCACCCGCCCCCCTGGAGAGTCGGCCTTTATCTTCCCTTTCGGGAAGTCCTAGTCCTCACCTCCTCCCAGCTGACTGCCTGGACTCCTTCAGGAGCCAGAGTATCCATACTGTGGCCTTAGCTTCCAGCGTTCATGGGTTAGAGGGCTGCCCACGATGTGTCCGAGGCTGTGTCCGGCTCCCACTGGCCCTAAGTTAACTCCCTCGCTCAGTCTTCATCCTGTACCCACACCCAAGCCCCTGGGCCCCATGGCAGCTCATCAGGTAGAGACTCAGCAGTCCTCAACCTCAGCCTTCCAGCTTCACGAACGTTTCACCCCCGTGTGCCTCCCGCGGTCACGTGGCCTCGTCCCCACCCGCTCTGTGCCCTGCTGTGGGTGTGCGTCCAGGCCAGGCCGCCCCTGGCTCCAGCAGCCCGAGCCAACAGCTGTGGGGCTGGGGCCGACCCCAGTGTACGCCACGTGCTCTGTGGCCCCAAGTTGTGCACTGCCCATAATTCCATGTTAGGGAATAAATGGGGTGTCTGGAGATTGGCGCCTCTCACAAGGTGAGAACCCTGTGTGTACAAGCACATTGCACGTTTTCAGAGTCAGGGAGAAATAACGGGGCGCTCCCTTTGTCAGTGACCCCCTCCAGGCTTTGACTCTTTGAGATGCCCACTGAAAACACACAGGGTGGCTGGGTACTTCCATGACCTGGATGCGTGGACCTACCTCCAGCCACAGACAGTGGGGCAGGAGTGGGAGCATCTGTGGGCTCTGTCCGGTCAATGATAACACGACCAGCCACCCACCAAGGAAGGGAAGCCATGGTGCTCGTAGAACTGCTAGGCGTAGGGGCCAAGGGAGAATTCCCACAGACACGCAACACACACCATCGCCATACTGATGTCCTCAGCGAGAGACAGTTGGGGCTCAGCCCAGGGCCCAGAGTCGGACCCCATGCCATCTACTAAGCCCCGCTTTTCTAATTTTTTTTAATTTTATAATAATTTTTGCATCATTTTGTGCATTTTTCCATCTCAGTTGCAATCCCCGTGGGCTTCCCATCACCAAACCACCCGTGTGCCATCACCATAGCCCATTGCATTTCCCTCCCCCGACTGTTTTTGATCCCATTCCCCACTGCACCCCACAAAATGTCTCTGGTATATAGCTGTTCATCATTATCATTATTTTCTCGCCTGTCCCGTTATGTTCCTGCTATGAGAGAAACCACCGGTATTTTTCCTTTTCTTTCTGTAAGCCCTGCTCTTCTAAGGCCAATAGCCCATGAAGTGCGGTGTATTCATTCAGCAGATATTTGTTTGCTGTTTACTCTGCTCCAAGACCTGGGAGTACAAAGGTGAACAGCACCCCTGACTTTCTGGCCAGTGCTGGGGCGCAAGGGGTTCTGCGGGAGGCCCTGGGGGATGGCCACCTGTTGACGAGTCCAGCCCTCCCTGCCTTGCAGGCTGCTGCTTTGCTTCATGTGCTGCACCACGCTGCTGTCCATGTGGCTGTCCAACACGTCCACCACGGCCATGGTCATGCCCATCGTGGAGGCCGTGCTGCAGGAGCTGGTCGGCGCCGAGGAGGAGCAGCTCGTGGCCGGCAGCCCCAGCGAGGAGGAGGCAGAGGCCACGAGTACAGTTTGCTGGAGCCCCCCCCCCGCCCTTCACTTCCACCGTCCACTAGTGATGCTCCCCAATGTGGTGTCCACTCCAAGGACCCCCTGACCTGTGTCCCTCCCCATCTGCTGCTGCTTCCCAGCCCTCCCCTCCAGCCCACACCAGCTCCCTTGTGACAATCCCCCCATTCCCAGCTCCTCCCCTCCACTTGCAGCAGCCACCACTGGCCTGTCAGCTGAGGCTCAAGGGGTGTGACAAAGGGGCCCCTCAGAGAGGAGGAAGGGTGGCAGGTACCATGCCCCTGCAGGAGCCTGTGTGCCCCTTTCCCTTTGAGCCCCAGCCCTGAGCCCCTGCCCTGGGGGCAGCTCCAGCCCCCCCCCTTCACCCCCATCTCACTTTCAGCTTTTCTTTGTGCTGTAGATCATGATGCAAACAACAGCCAGCCCTGCCTGGAACTCATCTTTGTCAATGAAGAGTGAGTATGACTGCCCCTCCCAGGCAGAGTCCTGCAGGCCCTTGCAAGGGTCAGGCATGCTGGGCTGGGCCCCTGAAATTGTGGGTGTCTCGCCATCCCACCCCCTCCACTGGCCTGATTTCCCCTCCAGACCTGGAGTCACTTGCCAAGATCTTGAGCACAACCTTAACACAGGATTTTGCAGATGCCAGCTATGAGGGTGTAGGAATCACCCCTACATCTACCCAGCAGAACGACACCCAACTGATGGCCCTCTGAGGGGAATACTCAGAAATACCCACATCACAGGTGTCACTGGAGACCTCAGAGAATCAGCGTTTTATGGCTGTTAGATAAGGTCTTGCCAGCTCTGTGTCTTGTTAGATGTGGCGAAAGAAAATTAGGTGACAGGTGGGAGATGAGAAGACAGTTGGTGAGAGAATTGGGTGGTGATGAAAAGAAGCTAGAAAAGGAGAATTAAAGTTATGAATACGCGTGTGAGGGTGACCAGCTAGCAGCTGATTCCCTTTGGAGACTTGCATCGACAGGGAATCTTCAAGGTACATCTCACGGTGAATGCTGGACTTGAACCAGAGCTCAGTCTTGCAATGTGCCCTCATCGTGCTAAACGGAGAACTCGGGTTGAGCTCAGGTCAGCAGCAGATGGAAGGGCGCCATCAGGAAATAGCTGGGGTGTCCGTGACCCTGACCCTCGCTGTCTCAGGCCAGCCCCTGAGCGCCTCTGCCCTCTCCACTCCTAGGACGGTCAGCAGTCAGTCCAGACTCACCTCCCAACTTCAGTCTCCTGTTCAGAGCTCCGCCCATCTCCTCAGGGGGTGGGGCCTGGCCAAGAGTTGACTTGTCCCTTCCTGTCCCTCCACTTCCTTCTCTCGCCCCTCCTAGACTTCTCCAGAATCAGGAGAGAGGCTGTAGGGTGCACCTTAGCAAAAGGGCTGCAGGTGCTATGGGGTGGGCTTGCAGCCCTCCCAGACACTCAGATCCCCACTCTTTCACTGGCCAGGCACCTTCCTTCAGGGTCTTTGGGTGTCTCCTGGGGGCTGATGGTGGGAGAGGCTCCTGGATGACCAGATGTGTCCCCCACCCACACTCCTCCACGCCTCTGTGACCTGTAGCTCAATCTCACAGCCCCTTGGGAGTCGCCTCCGCCCCAGGGGCAAGGCCTTTTGGAGATGGCCCAGCTGCCTCGTGTCTGCCCGGCTCGGAGGAGGGTGGGCAGTAGCTTCTCCCACTGTGCGGGGCTTTTCTCCTCAACAGGGGTCTCTGGCAGCCCCTCACTGGCCTCTTGCTTTTGTTCTTTTCCACAAGAGCCTATGTATCGCCAAACTCCAAAGCCAAAGCTCAAGTTGTCCCTAGAACCCCCCAGTGTGCTGGGGGAGCGTGACTGTCCGAGGTGTGCAGAGGGCAGTCTTCTCCGCTGTCTGAGGGGCCTGGCCTGCCCTCCCCACCTGATTTGGGAAGGAGGCGGGGAGACATCCCAACACCCCGGGCCACAGCTCTCTCCAAAGAATATTCCCACTGAACCCTCCTCACTGCTTGGCCTTCCCCTGAAGGAGCCTGGGGAGGGGTGATGCCACAGGACCCCAAGTCCTGAGTGGGCATTCATTACCTTTCCTTTGTCTTTACGGCAGGGGACTCAAAGCGCCCACCGTCCCTAGAATTAAGACCAATGGAAACAGCCCAATACTAGATGTCAGAGAGCGATGGGACAGTCAAAGCCTCGGGCTCCTCTCTGCTCAGGCCAGGGTCGGGGCACCACAGCTGTGGCTGTCCTTGCTGACCAGAAGTCCCTCGCTCTCACCAGCTCCTCACCGGTGCAACCCTCCACTTCACAAGTTTCTCTTTCTACAGAATGACCCTCACTCAGCGGGTCAGGGAGAGGCGTCAGGGGGCCCAGGCCCCCGGGGCAGACAGCCAGGCTGGGGTGGCACCAGCCCCAGCGCCCTGAACCCCCGGGGGGTTAGTAAGGCTTGCTGGGGAGCTTCCTGAGGAGGAAAGTCCACATTCCAGGCTGGCCCCAGGTAGGTCAGCTGCTGGAGGGTCAGTATCACCACAGAGGGACGGGTATCCCCATAGGGAAACAGCAGGCCTGGCCCCTATATCCTGACAGTATCTCCAGTGAGCTTTCTTAGTAGCCTAGAAAACTGGAGCCTAGAGAGACCGCTTACACCGGCCCTCGGCTGTCTCACCTCACCAAGTCGGGCCCTTTGCTTTTTTCCAGCTCCTCTGCGGACCTCACTTCTCTGATGCAGAACAAGGTATGGCCTGGGGCCTCAGGGCGGAGGGTTCTGGAACACCCTTAAGATACCTCGGGGACAGACGCCCCAACAGGTGTAGCTCTGGTCTGGTCTAGTGTCTGTGGGGGCTCCACTTCCACAAACCCTATAAAAAGGCACACATTTGCAGGACAAAGCCCTCACCTGCTCCCCCCAGGCCTCCAAAACTGGTTTCGTATTTCTTATATCGGTTCAAACAGCTGGGACTCTGATCAGCCCAAACCATGAACTTAGTTAAGGTCAGATTTTTAAAAATTTCTTCATGTTAAAGGGGCTTTTCTTAGCATTTAAAATTACAGACGCTCACACTGTCCTGTCTGGGCAAAGCCTCGCACAGCCAGGTTTTAAAAAGTCATGCCTGACGGGCTGGAGGGGGACCCGTGAGCCAGAGTCCCCGCGGGGTGCCCCACAGGATGAGATGGTACTTCCCGAGGCTGCTCGGGCTCTCCCTGACAGGTGATGTTCTCTGTGCCCACAGAACCTGAACGGTGTGCCCACCCCTGTCAAAACAGCAGGCCCCCCGGGCAGGAAGCCGCACCTGTCTCAGGTACGGAAATGGACTCCTACTCGAAATACTTCCCAGAGGACTCTGGTCTTGAGGTCGTGAGGGCCTGGGGTCGTCTGGGCCACGTGTGCCAGATCAAACTCCAGGTCACTGTGGACTCTGGAAGTCACCCACTGCCTAAGCCCCATGCCTTCAACCCTAAAACTGCAGGTTGGTCTGATCGCAGGTGTCCAGGCTGTTCCTCACAGGTGCTTCATGAAACTGCAAATGCCTTACTTCCATGTCCCAGAAGTTCAGGCAAATGCTTTCCAGTGCCAATAAGGAATTTCCCTAGCGTATACCACTGAAACAAAACGCAGAGATAAAATGGCTGTTGAAGCTGGTGTGAAATGACAGCTGTCCCTTATCACCCCTGATTTTCAAATGTTTATGTTCATCAGAACTGTCTCTGTGGTTTAGTGTCCACCAGCAGCGGCATGAATAACAGCCACCACTTACTAAAACACATATCCTATACCTAACGCTGGGCCAAGCGCTTTCTCCAGTCTTGACTCTCCATTTTGAACTCCATTTTTGAAGGCGAAGCAGAGAAATGAAATTGCATATCCAAGGCAATTGCATACCCAAGCAAAGGGCATAGCCAAATCCAAGCCCAGCTGCCACAGGTGTGGCTCAGTTGTTTACTGGCATTGAGGTGTGCTGATTAAATGCTCTAGTGATGTTTTAAGTTCTGTGTCAAACTTTATTAGAAGAAAGGATCATGGAAGACTCCGAACCAGAGACTTTGGATGAGGTCACGCCCAGCTCGGATGGTCAGTCTGGAAGATCTGGAAGTGTCCACACTGACCTGGGCCCCCCAGGCCGACGAGGCGAGGCATGGTTAAGGGCTTAGAGAGATGTGTCCAGGTGACCTCTCTCCAGAGTTTTCCTGTGACCTGGCCTGGTGGTCTTGCTCCAGGCTGCTCTTAGTGAAGATTCACAGCCAGGCCTAGAAGGACAGATGGACAATTGCTCGTTTCGTGCACTTGAGATTAGAGGTCAGCAGTCTTTGAGCTGGACCAAGCAGGGCCTGGGAGAATCACAGCATGGTGGAGGCTTGTGTGCAGGAGGGAGGAGAAGGAAGCGGGAAGAGAGGAGAGGCCTGAAGGGGACAGGAGAGCAGCACAGCCCGCCCCTGGGTTCTCCCGTGACCCACGCGGCCTTTCAGTCACCCCCCACCGACCCCTCGGCCCCCACACAGCACGGCCAGCCCCTCGGAGGTGTTCCCACACACAGTGGACAGCGGCCGGTTTTACTGGACTTGGAGTGAAAAACAGAACATGTCGATACTAGTGAAAATGGCCAGTAACAGAAACCCTGGCTTGGTGTTCACTGGGTGCCAGGTTCTGCGTGGTCTCAGGGCCTCTCGTCTATTCGTTTCTGGCCCTGAAAACGAGACTCGCCTGTTTTATAGGAGAAACCATGGCGGGTGGGGGCTGCCCGGTTTGTTCCATGGACGACCTGAGATGAGGGTTGCCGCTCTGACTCCCCAGCTCAGAGCCTGGCAGTGGCCCCAGGTGCCCAGGGCTGCATGTGGCTGCATGTGGCCCTGTGTAGGACACAGGGCCGGGCTGAACTTCACTGTCGCCTTTGGCAGGAAAAGCCACGTGCCCTGGCCCCCCGCCCCAGGAAGCAGGAACGCGGCAGAAAGTACAAGTCCCAGCACGACCAGATGATCTGCAAATGCCTCTCCCTGAGCATCTCGTATGCCGCCACCATCGGGGGCCTGACCACCATCATCGGCACCTCCACCAGCCTCATTTTCCTGGAACATTTCAACAAGTGAGTAATGGGCGGGTGACTGGCATTGGCGCGTCACCTGCTGGGACTCCGGGGCTGGGTGCAGTGTGACCAGTGACGGATCCAGGGAGCACCTCATGGGAGCACTCCCGCAGGCTAGAGGAAAGGCCTGCTCCAAGAGGGGAGCTGGAGGCGGGCCCTGGACGGAAGCTGGAGCACCCCAGGTGAAGGAGGCTCCCCGACAAGCACAGCAGTGTGTAGGAGGGTTGAGGCAGGTGGCAGACACAGGGAAGGAAATGGCAGAGGCCACCAGGGAGGAGGGAGAGCAGGTCACAAGGGGCCGCGAGGCCCCCTAAGGAACGGGGACTTCACCCATAGGCCTGGGATGCAGCTTCAGAACTTGAAGCAGGAGTGAGGTGAGTGGGTGTAAGGGTTTGAAGACTCAGGCTGGATGAAATATAGGAGAATGATCTAGAAAGGAGTAAGGAGCAGGAAGACAATCCAGGAGTGAGTAGCAGAGGCTGGGGACGGAGCTGGTGGCAGCCTGACAGGAAGGGAGAGGGTCAGTGGGAAAGGAGCTGAACAGAGGTGGACTTGACAGGACTCAGAACCTGAGGGAGGGGGCGGGGGGCAGGAGGGAGGGGGTGAGAAGGGAGGGGGCGAGGGGGAGGGCCCCCAGTGGCAGTTCAGGTCTAAAGCACTCGGCTGAGCTCCAGGGAGCCCTCACAACTGTGCCACTCCCCACTGGCTTCCAAGTTTCTGCTCTTTAATTTCTGGTTGACTTTGTGACTGGGAAATGAATTTATGCAAATTAAGAGCAAGTAGATGCTGGGAGAGGAGGGTCATTCTCCATGGTGCAACACTTCCCTGAGCTCAACTGTAATTGTTTAGATGCCTTTTTTAGCTTATTTCATCGTTCTTGCCTGGGCTCGGGACAGCTGCAGCTGTCCAACAGTGAGCTCTATGGCGTACGTTTTGCCAGCATCGGCCACCCTCTGCCCCGCCGGGTGTCACCTTGCGGTGCATTTAGTCCGGTGCCCCTGAAACACCAGTGGAAATCTACCCTTTCTGGATCACTGACCGGGTCTCTCCTCTCCAGCCAGTATCCCGCTGCAGAGGTAGTCAACTTCGGCACCTGGTTCCTCTTCAGCTTCCCCATCTCCCTCATCATGCTGGTGGTGAGCTGGTTCTGGATGCACTGGCTGTTTCTGGGCTGCAAGTGAGTCCGGGGGGGCCCCCAGCCAGACCCGAGGCGCCCCTGCCCATCGGGGCCAGGGCCAGGGCTCAGTGCCGCCGCCTCGGGCCACCAGGAGAACGCAGAGCGGCCAGGATCGCCTGTTGTTGACGCCCTGTCGTGCGTGGCTTGTCATGATAAGCTCCGTGGTGAAACGGTCCTCATCCTGGTACCTGGCTGCAGGGACTGTTGGACTGTAAAGTCGGAATTGGGGCATGTTCGCTGGAGAGTCTTGGCTCCCGGAGCAGAGGGATGTGAACTCTGACTGCAAGCGAAGTTGCCTTATGCTTCATTTTCCAGACCAGTGATCTGCCCCAGGGGTGTCCAGAATGTGCACCTTGTCCCTCCAGGCAGTGTCAGGCCTGCTCGGCCACCTTCCTACTCGTATTCATCCCCGTCAGTCTGCCTTTTCTTCGCTACCATCAGTCGGATCCAAATTTGATCAGTTTCACACACAGAGGGAAGATAAACACTATGTTTTGCTGCTAATCAGTAGAGCTTAATTCGCCCACTGGTCAGAGAATGTTCTGTGATTTGTTTGTTGTTTTTTTTTTTTTTTAACTTAGAAGCAATGCTCAAATCAGTGTTAGCTGTATATGCCTCTCCGTTTGCCAAGAGAAAGCCAGCACCCACTTTTACCTCACACAAGTCTTATGTCTAGGGAGATGAGCACACACACCCCTAAGGGGTTTGTATGTCAGGTGCAAACCTATCAGCATCTAAACATGAGCACATCGTGTTGCTTCTCACTTGTGGGAAAGGCCAGTGTGCAGAAACATCCCCACTGCCCGAGTGCTTGCACAAGTCCGTAGACATCACACCAGTGTACCGGAGATAAACCCAGGGGGATGCTCCCGGGAGGTGGGGCTCACACTAGGGTACCGGAGATAAACCCGGGGGACGCTCCCGGGAGGTGGGGCTCACACTAGGGTACCGGAGATAAACCCGGGGGACGCTCCCGGGAGGTGGGGCTCACACCAGGGTACCGGAGGTAAACCCGGGGGAAGGAGGGTGGGGCAATGAAGGTGGTGAAAGCTGTGGAGTGGCAGGGATGGGCAGGTAAAAGTCACCAAGTCGGTGGGGTCAGTCGGAGGGACAGAGCATGTGGTGGAGAGGAGCAAAGTGACCACAGCTGGATATCACACAACTTTGGGCTTCCAAAGTGTATTTTCTTTATTCTTCTGCCCATGCTTCCTTCTCAGCTTTCGAGAGACCTGCTCTCTGAGCAAGAAGAAGAAGACCAAAAGGGAAGAAGTATCAGAGAAGAGGATCCAAGAAGAGTATGAAAAGCTGGGAGACATCAGGTATAAATCACTGTGGCAGAGCGTGGCAGGCAGAGCGTGGCAGGCAGAGCGTGGCAGGCAGAGCGTGGCAGGCAGAGCGTGGCATTTGGAGATGGAGCGGACACCAAAGCCCACTGGTCCAGATTCCACGTGGAATCTTGGCTACATTCACCATGCAAGACACAGCCACGACCTGGGGTGGAGGTGGGAGGTAGGAGGCTGAGCAAGAACTCGAAAGACAACACAGCCTCCCTCTTGGGAAGGGCGGACTCGCTGTGAAGTCAGCAGCCCACATTGCTCAGAAGGGCCACGGCAGCTCCAGGGGACCTGGGCAGGGGGACCCTCAGGCAGCGCCACACAGAGCAGAAGCCTTCGGTCTGAGAGACCCTCGCCAACGCGGGTCGCCCCCCCCGCCCCCACCCATGGGCCCGTGTCCTGTTAACACCATTTCTCCTATAACTGGTGCATGAGGGGCTGGGGGCGAGGGCTCAGGGCTAAACTCTTGCCTTTTAAAACTCTGATTTGCACGGGAATACATATCCATTGGAGAGCATTTAGGAAATAGAGGGAAGTAGAAAGAAAAAAATAAAATTGGCTTCTATTCCTCCCATCCAGTGCTGTTAGCAATAACATGATGTTCCCTTCCATGTTGTTTTGTTTTTTAAGATTGATTTATTTATGCACACAGAACTGGGGTACAGGCCAGAGGTGCGGGGGCGGTGAGAGGCTTCACCAGAGACAGAGTGGGGAGCAGAACAGGCAGATCGA